TCATCGGCTGAGGCTTATAACTGGATGTAATTCCGGGACGGAATTCCTGGAATCGTACGAATCCGGAATCGCAAGAATTTGGAAGGAATTCCGCGGAATTCTAGTGATTCCGCAATCGCTCAGCCTTGGTATCACTCTCATCGGCTGAGTCTTATAACTGGAGGGTATGGGTGTGAGTGTGGATATCTTCTCATCACAGACAACCACACCCACACCCTCACCCACACCCTCACCCACACCCACACCCACACCCACACCCACACCCTCAGCCTCACACTCACCCACCCACACCCACACCCACACCCACATCCGCATCCACACCCTCATTACATCCATAATGATTGATAGAATAAAAACACAAGTTGTAATTCCTGAATTAGATGGAATTGGACGGAATTCGCGGGAATTCCTACCAATTCCCACCGATTCCGGATCCGCTCAAATTCGGAATTCCTTAACGGAATCGGATGGTTATTACATCGATAAAGATTGATAGAATAAAAACAGAAGTTGTAATTCCGGAATTAGACGGAATTGGACAGAATTTCTACCAATTCCCAGCGATTCGGGTGTTGTTTAATTGGGGAATTCTGGAATTAAACGGAATTCCTAGGAGTTGTTGCGGACTCAGTGTATATTCGATTCCGGAATCGCGGGAAACGATTCCGAGGCCGGAACTGGTTCCGCAATGTTCACGTTTGCGGAATAGGATGACTGCTCGTTCACGAATTACACACTTATTAACAGGCAATTTTGAGTTCTACAAAGCACCACACTATATCTTTGTCATCGTATACAGTGATGAAAGCATGAAGTAGCTTTAGCTACAGCTCCGACCACGATTATCGATTTCATTATTTTAATACCAGTAGATATTTTTAGACCCATCACGGATTCACCACCAAATTATCCACTCAGAATCCTCACTCATCTCCACCCACCACCCTGAAAGGTGTGGTTGTGGAACTGGATGCGGTTGAAGTGAATAGCCACACCCATGCTCACATCTACACACCACACCAACACCTACACCCACGTTTTTTTAATATTGATTATATAATAACTGCGGCAAACCGATACATTATTACTCACCATCGTTGACATCTACATTATAAATTTTTGTTTGCACAAACATTGAAAAATTCACTATTTAAAAATTCGAGAACGAGTTTTAACAATTGAAGTTTTCATGAATATTCCGAAATATTCTAGACCTATGTAGAATAGTCAAATTGAAGGTACTGGTCTTGTTAAAATTCTTTTTTTGTTGATTACTAATGTTTGTAATGTAGAAGTTTATGTAATTTTTATTGTTCATAGACGTCGGTTTTGTTAGAAAAACATTCTTTATATTTAAATTACTTTTTCTCTCTAATTTTTTATTTTCCTCATTCAACTGTTCAAGATCGGCTTATATATTCACAGATCAAATGTTTTTTTTTGCGTTTGAATAGTCCGAACAAAACTCTTGTCATGTGATATTTATAATACTCATGTAGTAATTCTTAGCTTCGTATTAAGTGGCATATAATTGAATGTGTGTTTCAGCCAAACATATTAGTTCCAACTATTATGCATATTGTCTGAATTTCGATGCAATTAGGACAATAAAATAACTAGCAAAAATCGATATTATAGTAATTTCTAAAGAATTTCGACAATTGTGGAAAATCTATAATATTGTCCAAATTCTACTAAATCAAATCAGAATCGTTCGATACAAACTCCGCATTACAGTTTGGGTTCTTTAGAAGCCTATTACTGACTGTTCTCACACATAGATATTCTGCAGATAGAGTCGTATCTTACGGAACAAGATGATTTATAAGTATATAAAAAACTCATTTCGTTCGTTTTAAAAATATGTCGCATTACGATTTGATTTACATGATATCAAATATAGTAAACAAAGTGGATGTAGACTTATTTCAAAATACAATGCAACTAATGAATGACATTGGTTTTTTTTATAGTTTTAACTATGTTTTTAAATGAAAAAAGTA